TTTCTCAAACATGATGAATGAGTCAGAGCAAGGCTTTGGGCATGTTTTTTATGAGAGGATAACATTATAACATGATATAAAACTCAAAAAAGTTGGTTTTACAGGATATTGTCCCTTTAATAACTAATAAAGGTTTGTATGAAGCTGCAGAGCCTGAAGCTGTGGGAAGAGTGACGGTGTTTCCTGTTAGACTGAATATTTTAGCTTTTTACCTTCAGGTGTTCACATCTGGACTTAGAAAATATTATTATTCAGAACAAACACCAAATTTAACCTGAATAAAAGTTCATATGTTGGCCTGACACAAAACTTTAGCTGCTTTCAGCCTCTTTCAGCTGTTTGTTCTGAGGCTCAGTCTCCTTTAGCAGGTAAATTCAGCTCTGGAGGGTCTGAAGTGGACCGAGCCAGTGTAGAAAAGGTAGTTTGTCTCTGCGTCACTTTGTTAAAGCCAGTTAACAAGTAGAATAATGATGCAGCAGCAGCTGCTACAGCCAGCTCACAATTTACTTTTTTATTTTTAAACAATGTATTTGATCTTAATTGGAAGTTTTCAGTTTTTTAAGGGTTGTTACATTTATTAATGTCAAGCAAATATTTAGTTTGTTTCAATGGACAGTACATATTAAGTATTGAACAATTGAAGTTGTTTGTCAGCCGTACAAAAAAGAATTAAAGCCACAGAGCAAAATAAATAAATTAATTAAATCTCACGGTTCTRAGAAAAAGTTAGAACTCATGAAAAAAGGTTGTAATTATGTTTTACTCTGTGGTCCTAATCCTCCTCCATGCAGCATCTGTCTAATTAGCAAGGAAACGGTTTAATACAAAGTGGGTAATCCTGGTCCTGGAGGGCCGCAGGTCTGCATGTTTTACTTATTTCTCTGCTCCAACACCTCTGATAGGAATGAATGGATGATTATCAGGCTTCTGCAGTCTGGAGCAGTGTTTCCAAAAGTTGGTGTCGGGACCCAAAGTCGGGTCCCGAAACATCAAGGTGGGGTCCTGAAAAGATTTTCCGAATTAATTACATTTTTGCCTTAGTTGTTACAAATGAGTGAGGTTAGTATATTTAAA